CTCATTAAATCGAGTTTGACTCAACAGACCTTCATTAGTTATCTTCAAAAGAACGTAATTGTATCACCGGTCCACTTTTCAATGCTCGTTGTGACTCTATCCATCTCCACCACCATTTTCTCTTATCCGACAATCGACGATCGTATGTTTGTCTATAACCTGTGGTCAATGGCGGAGGGAGTACAGGGGCAAGCAGGTGCTTTGCCCCCCCTCAACATTTCTAATTTATATACATTACTCCCTTTAACTTTTCCAATTTATATACATTACTCCCCTTGACTAAATTCATAAATATTATTTTGATTTTCATAATAACAAGGGTTGAATGTTGTATATCCTTTATCAACATAGACTAGATTTACCTAAAAATAAAAGATTTACCGTTGAAATAATTGTTTTTTGACAACTAACATTTTTTATACCATTTTTACTGTTTTGTTAACACATTGATAATAAATAATAAGAAGTTGATGATATTAAGTCTTATAAAATCATATTTTATAAACCATTTATTTAATATCTATATATTTTTTTGTGTTTTCTTGTTATGTAAGTCATATTTATCGGATGATAAGTTGTGATTTATTTATTTTATTGACTTTGTTAGGATGATAATTTTTTTATAACTTTTTTGTTAGTTTTAATGTTTATTATTGATAAAATAGTTAATTATTACTTTTAGGTTTATTTTTAATTTTTCTATTTCTTTTTATCATTAAAATTTTTGATTTGGACACGGTCCGTATGCATATATTAATTTTTTTTAGATATTCAAAGTATGTATTAATTTTTATCTCAAATTTTCCTTTAAATTATTGATTATATTACATCATCCAGTAATAAAATATTGGTTAACCTTATTATGATGTAAGCCCCTTTATTGTAAAATTCTGGCTCCGCCCCTGCCTGTGGTCTGGTTTGTTCTTAGTGTTGTGCGACCACATTCATATTCTCTCATTCATTTAAGTTAATTCATATTCTCTCATTCATTTAAGTTAGTTTTGTATTTTGAAAAGTATATATAAGTGAAAGTAGCTATAGTGTAGAGTAAAACCACTTTGGTATTTTTTTTTACATCATAGCACATGGTTATAAATATTGGAAATATGTAATTGAGACTTCATTTTCCTATTTCTAAGATATTGCTTTGTTTGATTTGATTATAATTAGTAACAAAGAATTTATCCTACTCATTTGTCTTTATTTGTTTATTAAAAACCTTACGACATGGAACTTAGATCCGATAATTAATTTTTTGACCTATTTATTTCATCATCTCATTCAAGTTAGACACGTGTAAGATAGATTTGTCACTCTATAGAAACAAAAGAGACAACAAATATATATAGATTTACGGGGAGTTAATGACTTCTAGGATATAATTCATTTTTGCATAATTGGTCTTTAAAGTTTATCGTAATGTCAAAAACATAAAAGACAAAAAAGGTGTATAATTGTCAAGGTACTTATGGATGGTAGCAGATTAAGGATTTATAAGTAACCAAAGCCGATAAATTTGCCAACATAAGAATAACTGGTGTCAAAGTTTTCAAAACTAGGACTAAACCTGCATATTCATGTATACCATAGGGACCAAACTAAAATTTACCCGGAAACAATTTTTGGCACGAAGGGAGTTGATGAGTGATGAGGTCACGGACAGAAAATCCTGAATTTCTATTGGTCAATACTCGTGGAACCGCCTACAAACGCCACGTTTCCCTCCTCTTAAAAGCTCGGAACCCTCTCGATCCCTCTCCTTAACGAAGCTATAAGTTGTAACGCAAACACTCTCGATCACTCGAATAACAATTTTTTTTTTGGGTGGGATTTAGCGATCTTGATTCTCTTGTGAACGCAGAACATTCTTCTGGGGATTTGGATTCGATTGTCTTGAAAAAAAAAAAACAATGAAGAACACCTGGACCATATCGATGATATTGTTTACATGTTCTCTGTTGTTATACGCCTCCGTAGAGTCAAAATCTCTTGACCCGTATAAGGTAATTATCCTATCTCCCTCTCAATTCCTTTGTGTTTACTTAGGTTTTACCCTTTTGATATATGTTTCCTGTTGTGTGCATATAAAGCAGCATCATCGTCTTGTTGTCGCAAGAAAGCGAATTTTTGATAGGTTATTTGTGTTTGGGTTCTAAGTTGCATTTTGTAACTAAATACTGGATTGAAATCTGGTTTATGGTTTAGGTTTAGGTTTTATCATGATATGCCAATTTGGGTTGCGAATTTCAGTTGATCCTAATTTGGGGTTTTTTTACGGGGGTATGTATTCGGGTTTAGCTACTAGTAAGTCAGATGGAAGTTAAAACATGGAAATATTGCAATTGGGAGGGTAAATTTTTCTGATTTTACATGCCCAAAACCTTTTTGAACATGACACCCATATAGTTGGCACTGTTCTTCCTCTGAATTCATCCACCATACAATTCAAATTACTTTATGTTAGAATAGTAAGATATTCGATATGAATCGTGAATTTCTTACATTCAGATATGGGGTATTCTGCTCGACAATATCACATTTTTGTTCCAAACTTGTTGAATGTTGAGCATGCTAAATATGTTATCTGTTGGGAAGTAGATTTATACAATTAAGCGGTTTCTTGATCTTTGATTTAACATCCATAAATTATGGTTGAATATGTTTGTATTCTCCTAAGGTTTTTAACATGTTTCTTTGACCAGGTACTAGGAGTAGAAAAGGATGCAAGTTCGAGGCAAATTCAAAAAGCTTTCCACAAGTATGTCTCTTTCTTGATGTTTGATAATTGATAACACTACCCCTTTTATTATTTAGCTACACATCAATGATTCTACATACTAAAATTATATTCTACGATTAAATGCAAGAAATAACAATGAAAGTTTTAGCAATTTATATATTCTCTCATTTTTCTTTTTTAGGCTCTCTCTTCAATATCATCCCGATAAGAACAAAAATAAAGGCGCTCAGGAAAAGTTTGAAGAAATAAATAACGGTATGGTGATTCCCCCCCTCCCAAATAAATAAAAATAAAACTTATAGCAATGAAATTTACTTTTATTTTATTTTTTTCATCAGCATATGAAATTTTATCCGATGAAGAAAAGAGAAAGAATTACGATATGTACGGGGACGCAAGGGGAAACCCGGGATTCGATGGCGGTGATGGCGGAACCCGTGGCGGCCATACCTACTTCCGAAGCGGCGGTGGGCCAGGACACGGCGGCGGGTTCACATTCTCACCAGATGAATGGCAGACAATGGGCGGTCAAAGCGGCGGGTCAAAATCATATTCGTTTTCCTTTGGCGGAAGTGGCGGCGATAGTCCATTCGGTTTCGATGTCGGCGATGTTTTTTCCAACTTTTTTGGCGGCGGCGGTGGAAGTCAGTTTGGTGGATTTGGTGGTGGTGCTCGGGCGGGTCCCGGTGGTTCTCCTAAAAACATGGTTTCAATTAATTCTCAATTGTATAAAAAAGAGGTAACTGAAAAAGGAGTCACATGGCTTTTGTTATCTTATACCCCATCAATGAAGGGTACACAACACTTTGAATCAATCATAGAGGAAATTGGAAACTCACTCAAAGGGGCATTAGAGGTAATTTACAACAATCTAATCTCGCTTTAAACATTTTGGAAAAAAAAAAGCTAAAACTTTCACTAAAATTTTCGACATGTAAAATTTCTAGGTGGGAAGTGTGAATTGTGAAGTGGAATCATCTTTTTGTAAGGAAATCGGTATTCGCCCTAAGAATAAACCACGTGTCTACATTTATTCATATAAATCAATAGAAATTGGTTCATTAATCGAGTACACTGGTGATGGAACCCTAAAAGATTTGAAATCATTTGTTCAAGATCACCTTCCAAAATTCTCAAAACGTGTGACATTGACTGAACTCGAGACCAAATTCAACACAATTGAATCGTTACCAAAACTCATCCTTCTTTCTACCAAAAAAGACACTCCGGTTATCTGGCGTGCACTTTCCGGAATGTTCCGGAAGCGTTTCATCTTCTATGATACGCAAGTGAAAGATGTTTCTGATCCGTTGGTGGAAAAACTAGGAGTGGATAAACTTCCGGCTGTGATTGGTTTGCTATCGAATGGAGAGATGAAGGTTTTGAAAAGTGGGATTCATGTAAAAGATATGAAATCAACAATTAAGGAACTTGGTTTGTTGTTTGATGGATTTGAAAAGAAAAACAAGAAGTTAGGTTCAAATTCAGATAATGAAGGGATACCTTTGTTGAGGGCTACAAATTTTGAACTGATTTGTGGGGAAAAAACACCGGTTTGTGTTATTGGTGTTTTTAAATCGGCTAAAGGAAGGGAAAAGCTTCACAAGATACTCTCATCGGTAAGTTATCTTTGTTTTTGACTTTTTTCAAAAGGTCAGATTGCAATAAGTTGATATTCTTTTTTTGTTAATGTGAATTTAGGTGTCACAGAAGTCGCTATTGAGGAGACAAAATCCAGCTTCGGGTCCAAGGGATTCGGTTTCTTATGCACTTTTGGATGCTTCAAATCAGTCTTCATTTTTATATGCTTTTGATAAATCAGGGTTTAAATCATCGGATATGTTATTGGTGGCGTATAAATCAAGAAAGTCAAAGTTTTCGGCTTTTACAGGGGATGTGACTTTTGAGGAAGTGGAGAGATTTGTGGGTTCTGTTCTTAATGGTGATGTTCAGTTTAGTAAGACGAGGCAAAAACCTACACTTAAGTGAACATTTTTGGGTTTTCTTTTTAATGATAGTTTTTGGAGAAAGAGTGTATAGGACATTGGGCATTTGGCCTTTATATTGTAAATGTGAAATGTTATGGTTATAATGTGGGGATACCAAAAACGTCCCTTTTAGGTACAAAATGAAATCAAATGTCCCAACTTGTTTATGTCTTTTCATGTAACTTTTCATCAACAAGATGACATGCAACCAAGCAAAAGTGTCATAATACTTGAATACAAAAAAAGAGATTTGATTGAGTTCAAGTACAAGTTTATAACACAAAACTAGGGGAAAGGAGATTATACTTTTGTGGGAGCATGCAACAAGCGACCCTTTTGCAGTAAATTTTCAGGAAAGGGTGATTTACAAATAGCAATATGTGATTTGAGGCGAGGAATGTTAGGGTGTGCGCTTCTACACCGGTTGCATCTCAACTCCATCGACATGAATTTCTCATCATCGTTTAAACTAGGTTTCCCCTCTTCCCTCACTTCTTCAATCACATCCACAGAATCCCGAAAAAATGAAGAATTGAATGAGTTCCAATGCTTCTTGTTCTTGAGATGTTTAGAGTCAAAATCTTGGCTTATCACATGAAGGTGTAGTTGTCTCATTGAAGGCGCCTAAAACAAACAAACAAACCACAATCGTAATCAATACACCTCATCTTTAAAATAGTTAAAAGAGTACAATGTTGTAATAGAAAGAAATAAAAGCACCACATACCGAATGGTATCCAAGGCGAAATACCAATGATTCATTTTCCTTTAAAAATGTTTGAGCCCACTTCGAACCCACATCATGCATTGTTCTTAATATAGGAAGGTGTTCCTCACCTACATTTGCAAGACCCCTCAAGACCTTTAACTCGAGCAACCACCAAAACATGCTTTTGTGCCTGTAAACCAAATAAAGTCAGCATTTTCAAGCTTTCTAGGGTTATTCTTGATCATGAGTTTGAGAGGGCATTAACGTCTTTTGCACAAACAAAAACTCAAAAGCACCCCAGTCTCACCTTTTTGGATGGGAAAAAAAATTTCAACTTTTGTCCCAATTGACAGTATCTGTCCTAGCTAGCTTTTTTGGGTTCACCCAAAAAGCTAACTAGGACAAAAAGTTACTTGATACTTGAATTGACACCGGTCTCAATTCAAATACCAAGTAACTTTTTAGGTGGGACAAAAAGTTGCAGTTTTTGTCCCACCTTTTTGGGACATCGGTCTCAATTCAAGTACCAAGTACCAGTCCAATGTACATCAAACATAGTACAAATTCGTCTTATTATGTCCTAAGAGATAAAAAAGAACCTTTGGGTAAACATCATTCAAAACCACAACATCATCCAATATTTCAATAACACCATTCCCATGTTTCTCAGGATGCATAGCGATTTTATAAAGTGCTTGAGCCCACGAACCCCAATCCTTATTCACCTTTCCACCCATGTCCTCATTCTCCTTTTCTTCCACAAAACCTTTAAATTTCTTATTTTTCTCAGTGTCACATACGCCATCATCCTCTCTCCTAACCTTCTCAACACCACTATTCAAAACACCATCAAAATGTTCACATAACTTCTCTTGATTTCTCACAATAGATTCAAAGTTTTCAAAAAGAGACACGTAAGCCTCCTTAAGAACTTTACATCCCTTTTGATAGTCATCTTTGAGGCAATTTGGTCTTTTTGGATTCATATTTGGGCCAAGAACATGTATGACATGTGTCACACCTTCTTTAGAAAACAAAGGAGATGTTGAAGGAAGAGGGATAGTGATTGCTTTTCCAGGGGTAAGAGATCCAGCTCGTTGTTTAGTTGCAGTATCTAAATCGGGTCCCGCAGCATCAAATATGGCAGCATTTACACCTCCACCACCAGGTTTTAGTCTCCTGCAAAAGACATAAATGCCCTTCTCATTCTCATTATTGAAAACAACCCTAGAAAACTTGTGAAAACTTACCAGTTTGCAGCATTGGCTATAACATTGCACTTTAAGCCTCCTGAGTGAAGCTTTGTAATATCTCCCACAAAAGTAAAAAACTTTTTTGAGTCAATATTCTTTTTAGCAGCTTTAGTTTTCACCAAAGATAATATCTTTGATCCATGAGACAAATCCGCCAAAACAAGCCTCCCATTTCCAATCTTGTTCACAAATTCCTCAACTGTCTCAACTATTATTTCAGAAGCCTTTTCAATATTAAATTGAAAATCTGACGTGGATATAGAAGGAAATGCCAAAGTTGGGACCCCATCATGGGTCCCACTCTCAAAGGGTATTTTTTTCTCTTTACCTTCATTAACAGGATGGTTTTCTTGAGTGGTATTATCATTTGATGTCCCAGGGGTAGTTTTGTCAGTTTTGTCGGATGCTAGTTTACTTGGAGCATCTACTCTTTTCAAGAACTTCATAATACCAACTTGGACTTTAGAATCGGTTTTTTTCTCTCCAAAACAGCCGGATGGAAGGGTATTTATGGAAGAAAGTGATCCATAAGTATCCATGGCAGATTGAACATCGTTTTCATTGTAACAAAATGTTATTCGTGTAAACCCTTCGTTGATTTTGGGTGATTCTTTCTTTTGAAGCATACGGTTGACCACAGCTGCAGCTCTTCCACCTTGTAAGTTTCCTTCATGTCCAGTTCGATTTATACATCGAGAGATACAAAGCTTTGCAGGAAGATCAAGAACAATGGCGTGTATGTCTACTTGATGAGAGTTTTTAAGGTTGACAAAATCTGCACGTTGTTCTTTATCAAGATTACACCTGTCGATTAGTATGTTTTTTCCTTCTTTTAACGAGGTGTTGGAGATAGCTAGACATTGTGCTTTTGTTCCAGCTTTGCCATTCCCAATTATGTCCTGTATGAGATTACATTTAGTGATGGAAATTGGTAGTTATGTGTAATGCCCTAAAATCAATGTGATACCAAAACAGTGTGCCAGATAATGAACATAAAATCAATGTGACATTTCATCGAACACTTGGAATGCGAGAGAGAAAGACCTGACAAACGCGGACCCAGGGTCGGGTAGAAACCCGCATAACGTGATCACAGAAGGTCGATTTGCCACTTCCAGGTGCGCCGACTAGTATTACCACTATGGGAATTTTCTTATCTTCTTCTTCTCCTGTAGAACAAAACCCAAAAAGGATAGGAACATGGGTTTGACAGAGATTCAAGAATTCACAAATGAAAAATTGTTACAAGAAACACAGCCCATAATGAATAGGAACAACTATTTTGGCAAAAACTACAAGGATACCTTTAGATTTGATCATTTCATCGTCGATTTCCATAAGTCGTAAGCTAACTGATGGTCGCCGAATAGGTCGTCCTTGATAACTGGTTTGCTGTTCCCCGCCTGTTCGATGTCAAATAGGTAAATTGCAAGAATAACCTCAATTCCTCAAGTAAGGACTTCCAATTTTGAATCAAAGATTTCTTATAAGAATATGTTGTGAGATGGAGGTAAAAGCACAATCAATATTTTGTCCTTTTGATTATTTGAAATGAACATATTTAAAGGGAAACTGCTGATTTTTCCCCCTTTTTTTTTTATTATTATTATTATTATTATTATTATTATTATTATTTTTACTCATTATACCATTGAACGGTTCCTCTTCACCATAACCCCTACAACCGTATCACTTGTTTTGCCGGTTTCTCTATTTTAAATCGTTTAATTAAGACTGACATGTCATATTACGTAGAATTAAAACACATTTCACCCATTTCTCATTAAATTAGGGTTCATAGACGTAATTGATACAACCCTTTCTCATTGAATTAGGGTTACAAAATTGAAGACAAGTATTGAATGCGATTGTTATTGTGAAGAAGATGGCCTCTGATTCAACACCAAGTAAGTATTTGACAGTTGATGTACATTATAATGGTTTTTCGCACCAAAACCGTTAGTGTACTTGAATGCTATTGCCGTTTCAATCCATGATGTCGATTTTGGTGCAATGGATCTTAAATAGTTTCTTTTGTTCCTTCAAAAGTTAACTAAAGATAGGTGTAACGGTGTGGCTGATGGAATAGCACAACCTACCCATAACGCTGGATCCGTAAATCATTTAAAGATAGCTTCTGATTTGGTAAGTATGGTTCAATGTTTATATTTATGTGTATATTTTATATTTTATGGTATTTATGCAGAAAATGAAATTAGGACGTGCTCCACCCCATAGTGAATTGTTCCTGTGTACACACACGAAGAATCACGATTGAGTCACATTTACAAATGAAAAAGATAGACAAATTCATGTAATATTCATTTCAGTGCAATTAAAGTTTTATAATGTAACTAGTCCTTCATGTCATTCATAATTTTGATATCTTTTAATTTAAATTATTATTATTTTGTAGGCGGCCTATACAGAAAAACGGGAAGAGTTAGAAACTGAATGTGCTGAATTTGAGGATGACAAAATATTTTATGATGTTGGTGGTCATGACAAAAAAAGAAGACTATATGGATTTACAAAGACGGATGCCATGATTAACGGTACAACGGATGCATCTTACATTCCGAAAAAAATGATGAAATGAAAGAATTGAGGGAGCTTGTTACTAAACAAAAAGAGCATAATGAAGAGCTTAAGGAAATAATGAAGGCCCAAGAAGACCAACACCACGCAAGAGTCGAGCATCTTGATAAACAACAAAAATCGGAAATGGCTCTTATTAATGCTTTTAGAGTACAACAAAACTAGTAGCTCATAAAGTGTTGATATGTTTATTGCAAAATATTTATTTTAGAGTATCTGCTTTCCATTTTCCATGTAATAAATAATTATTGTTTTATTTAATGATATAAATGTTATTTGATTTTTTTCTTATTTTTGTTTTTTATATATTACTACAAAATAATTTGGATTTAATTTCTAAATTAATTATCCATCCGTGCCTATGCAATCGTTGCTACAGAAGCATGTCTACATAATTTGCAATGGAATCTGCTAAAGAATATACACCACTGAATTTGCTAGAGATTCATCACCACAAAATTTGCTAGTGATTCATCACCACAAAATTTGCTAGGGATTCACCACCATTAAATTTGCTAATGATTCACCACCACGAAATTTGCTAGGGATTCATCACCACAAAATTTTCTAAGGATTCATCACCACAGAATTTGCTAGGGATTCATCACCAAGGATATTGTTAGGGATTCATCACCACATATTTTGCTAGGGATTCATCACCACATAATTCGCAACGAATACACGACAGAATACCATCTACAATGGATTTCATTCCGTTGTCACGTTTGCGAAATAATGATTGTTTCCCTCGCAAACCCTCGCTACAGGGTTTTTTGGGATGGAAATCGGTCGTTGCAAATTCCATCGCTATACGTCTTTTGCAACGAAATTTCATTCATTCCCTATAAAAATCACGTTTTTCTTGTAGTGTCCCTAAAAAATGTAAACTTTATGGAAATGCATGTCCTTTCCCAAATCTAGGTCCAAAGTAAGGATGAGATTTAGAACCGGAAAACCGGACCGGAACCGGAACCGGTTGAACCGGAATATGCTAAACCGGTCCGGGTTTTGGGTTTTAATAATGACCTTATCCGGGTTCCGATATTCCGGGTATGAGTCTATCGGGTCCGGGTAAACCGGGTAAAAGAACCGGAACCGGGTAATTGGTCCGGAACCGGTTTATGCTAATAAAGACCCGGAATGTAGAGAGCTTTTTTTATTACGTTGATCTAGCCATTAGATACGCACCCAAGCAATCCTTATTCTCGATTTTTTTCCTTAGCAATTGTGATCGACATCAGTCTCCTACGTCACCATCTTGGACAAGCAAAATATGAAATATATTGCTATGTGTCCATCTCTTGTAAAACAACGTCATAATTGATGAGAAATAAGTTTAAACAATAACGTTTTAAGAAAAACATTGTATTAGTCCCAACTCCCAAACAATTGCTAAATGGAATGAAAACTTGCCCATGAATTGAGAAAAAAAAAGTTCTGCCCTTCCATTATAGAGATCTTGTAACCAAATTCTTTTTTTTTTCTTTTTGCCTTCATTAAATCGAGGAAGTTGCCCAAAGAAATAAATTCCCATTTATTATTATTATTTTTTGTTTCTGTCGAGCATGAAGCAACACAATTCTTTTAAAAATTAATTACCGATTGCAATTAGGAAAAATATATGCAAATTGCGTTCCTTTTGTTGACAATACATTAAGTATTGCAGCCCAAAAAAATGTCGTGGCAGTTTAAATCTGTAGCTTGCAGCCAAAAAATAAAACTATTTTTTTTTTCTTTTCCTAACATGTTATGTTCCATTTTATATGAGAAGTTATTTGAGAAGCTGACCTGTATTTATTTTTCCATTATATATGAGAAACAAATACGTAAATTTTTATATTTATATTTCCAGGTTTACGGGTCTAATACACGAAACCGGTTCCAATTAACAATTTTCGGTTCCAACCGGTTCCATACCCACTTTACCCGGTCCGATACCCGGAATCGAACCGGAACCGGTTCCCTTATACCGGTCCGGTTCTCGGGTCTTATAATTCGTCAATTTCGGTTTCCGGGTTTTCCGGGTCCGGGTCCAATCGGGTCGGGTTTGGACCCACTTTCATCCCTAGTCCAAAGATGAAATATGACCTAAAGTTCATGCAAAAGTCCCCAAACCACAACCACATCCTATATCTATGAGATATAATGTTCTTGGGACTCAGAGAAATCATAAAGTTGCAAACTTTATGTAATGCCCGTGTTTCTGGGCTAGGCATTAATGTTGATGTAATAGTCTAGGTTAACATTTATAACTCATTTTGAAATAATAAGAATGTATTATTTGAGTATTATGTGTTTTGTGCTTAATTGTGTGACTTAAATGAATTAAGGATAAAAATAAGCGTCAAAATGAAATGTTAGATAAACCCAATATTGATACATGAAGACGTAGTGGTCGTGACGAGGTTTCCGAATATATAAAGAATGCTGAAATCCGAGTTATAACGAAGAAGTTATGACCTGTCGAAGTTTCACGACAGAACCGGCACGACGCTGAATGACGTAAAATATGAATTTAAGATAGAGCGATATTTAGCCTTAGTGATCTAAACGAAAGTCGTAGAATACGTTAAACCGAGAGCATGCATAAAAAGAATATCTAAATCTGACTTCGTATGAGGAAGTTATGATTTTTCTAAGTTTCAGCTTAGTAGTATGCAACCCGAAGTTCGACTTTGAGTGATTTCTAGCCGAAACAATCTAAACGAGAATCGAAGATCTCGTCAATAGTAGTGCAATGGTAAAAAGACAGACGAAAACGGACGTCGGATGAAGAAGTTATGGATTTATAACGAAGTTTTCCTGTCCCGGCCTACTAAAAATAATATAATAAAAATAAAGTCAAATTAGCCGACGGAGTCTAAACGAGAGTTGTAGAGCATGATCTCACCTACGCGTGGATATAATGAACGTCGAAAACGGAGCTCGTATGCGAAATATATGAATTTCTGAAGTTCGGAACACAATATTCGAGGCTGTGTCAGAACTCACGACGTGAGCACAGTGTTCACGACGTGAGCAAGCGATGGACGTCTTCCAGAGCAAGTGGACGAGTGACGAACGCAGTGACCTACTGGGCTCACGACGTGAGAATTGGAAACTCACGACGTGAATCCCGAATGTTGGCCCTATAAATAGAAATCGAGGGTCAGCCGATTTTGGTTGCCCTATCTCTTCTCTCTCACTCCCGATACTCTCTCTAGCCATCTTGAAGTACCCCCGAAGCCCCGGTATCATCCCGAGACCCGAAGCGAGTCCCGAAGCTCCGAAGATCCCGAGAAGAAAAGAGTTTCCGAGCCGAAGCTCTGCCCGCGAGAAGCCCGATGTGTGAAGATCTCCCGGTTTCACTGAAGAATACTACTTTTAGAGCCGTAGTGCTGTCCGATCATCTTCTGATCATGTGAGTGTATTTTCGTTTTCTTCTAACACATATATATGAAGTATTCTTTATAAAATACGTACTATGTGTTTATATATTATTTGTTTAATTGAACTAGTTGTTGAACGAATGTTTTGTACAGGTTTTAAGCTGTATATAAATGTATATATTTTATCTACTAATATGTTGGGTAGAACATGGGTAGACAGTTGGTGTGTGATAAAATAAAATGATTAGAGGCCTCGATGTTGTTGTTGATCTAGTCATCTAGCGGAGTATGGATGACGACCACAGACTCTTTCTAGACAGTCCAGTGGAACGCTAGCAGGCTCATAACCTGTAGGTGTTGTGAACGATGTGTTCACCGGTGTACTCTATCCCCCTCATGGTTGCCTTTAGGACATCGATTGTCAAGGAAACCCCTTTGCAGTAATGTCTGTCACGATGAAAATCCTAGATTAGGTCCCTTGAAATAGTTGTTGTCATAGAGACGTAAAGTGAGGATAACGGGAATGGGTAATCGGGTTATTGTTGGTTGGTGAAATTAA